ATGGTCCATGTTTATTATAGACGTGTATGGCACGAATTGCTATTGAGCATAGCTAATGGATGTTATATTTTAGATGCAATTTGGTCGTTCTGGCCGTAAGCCAGGAGCTATATAGATAGCACATATAGATGGGCGAAATATTTATCATATTTTCTGTGTGCAGAAAAACTTTAGTTTACAATACAAATAAAACAGCAAAGAGGTTAATTTATACTTTAAATCTACATTTATATTTTAACCGAGTCATAAAACGAAAAGGTTTCGACAACTATGTCTTTTTAATGTCTGTCGTTTACGGAAACGAAGGAACGACAATCTTGTTTTTTAAAAATTCTTTTTTAATTTAGGGACTTATGTTATTTTTAACATGTCAGTCCCATTGTACCTTATAACTAAATAACACACTACAATTTATTAAAGTACACAAAATACTAACTAAACTATACACCATTCGAACAGCATTTGACAGTGGTTCAGACAGAATGCTTTGATACTCACATATGTTAAATATTTTAATGTCAGATTTGGCGACTAATAGTTTCTTTTCGTGATGGTTTATGGAATAAACATTCCGCGAGCAAGTGTTGTACATCTCATATTGTCTTGCATGTTTCGCAATTTGGAGATTGTTTCTTTTTCATGACGAAAACAAACATGACAATCTCGTTGTTACCTTGAACTTGTGCTGTTTTTAAGACAAAAGAAAGAGGGTAAAACATAAACTTAATTTAAAAAATATATAATTGCTTCCTAAGGCGGGTTTTTCATTCTTCGATACACTGTCTTAGCACCGACTTCAGAAGTTATTATATAGAAATTATTTTATTATTTTTAATTTTTAAAGCATATGATACCATAACCATATGTGACCGTCATAAGCTTTCGAACTAAATGCAAAACGATATTTTTTGCAACATATCAACGTTTTATACTTTATGGAAAATCAATATTACGACCGAAACACGATTTTAAAATAAACAATAATTAATTTTAAAACAGAGACGAATAATTCTGTGGTTGTTTGGATATAACGTCATTATGTTAAAATAAAACAATACAAAAAAGATATAGTTTAGTTTCATTTATTATTTTAATCACTAGGTGGCGGGCCTCCTACTCTGGTTAGGAGTCGGTCTGGGTTGGTATCACTCTTTACATTTTTCTGCATTTTCAATACACATTATATACATTTTCAATATACATTTTCCAATAGCAGTGCTTGCACTTTTGTATTGCGGTCAGAATAACTACAGGCTGTCAGCTTTTCCATCTTTGTCCTCAGAGATGACAAAGCACCTGTAGTCTTCCCTGTTAGAAGTTGGTTGCAGGTTGCCTGATCGAAGTTGGTCCACGGATTGCAGAAGCAACTTACCATCAGGCCGACTATAAACTCGTTTGTCGGATAATACAAAAATTAAAAGTCGCATAAGTAACAAATACAACACAAGTTGTTAAGTACTCTGTCCGGTAACCTTGTGGCTAAGGTTCGAATCCCACACGGAAAGTCACACAATCGTACGGCCAAATGTTTTTTCGAGTTTTTATATATTATGTGTAATTTATGTACGTAAAGAAGGTAAAAGAAATAAAATGAAGTAAGCGATTGTTAATTACATTAACGATTGCTTACACGAATAGTATAAATCGATATAATAATTCGTCTCGCACTCCCAATACATTCATTGCCTACAAACCAAAATATTGACATCGTAAAAATTCCCGTGAATACATTGCCTTTGTGACACACTGCATTGCATGCTTATTAGGTATTTTACGCAACGCCCAACAAAATCACCGCTGTTATTGCAATGCACTGTATAATTTGATTCATTAGAATAGATTACCAATTTAAATATATGTAGAAACTACTTTTCTTTTTAGATTTTGAATTCAGTATGAGATAATTGCGGTAGAGAGAGCAAAGTGAGAGTATTTGTGAGAATTGGTGTTCGATTAAATGTAACTACGTAATAAGTATAGCTTAGCGAGCGGTGGACAGACCTCTCGGAATTTTTATGTATTAGACTTCGTATTGAGGATATCCACAGTACAATTTGAGTAGCTAATAGTTAAGGGTTCAGTAAGCTGAAATGGGCTGATAATAATATAGGTCGAAGAACCCGCCACACAATTGCGAAAAATGATTCTCTAGTGAGAGGTGAGAGCCACGTATCCGCAATTGAAGTGTAGGGCGGCACCCGACTAGATGGTGGGACGACCTGGTTAGACTTGCTGTAAGTGGATGAGATTACAATTTGCACAAATGATTTACCCCACGACGTCCCGTACAATCAGTAACCATCCAACAAGGATTGAACGAATAACATATGAATTTCAATTATGCTAGACCTTAAATACATTTTTATACGTGGTAGAGCCACGCTGCAGGCATATTATGGTTGTAGCATGAATGGGTCAACTAAACCGGGGAAGGACCACGCTCTCATAGAATACCAGCGTTAAATAGCAGTTTAATACTGCTGTGTTTCATTTGGTGAGTGTAGAGATCCCTTTTTTACTGGAAAGGCATTCCATCTTAGTCGTCAGGGGTGACTACGCATCTGCGGTTTGATTCTTAATCGAGGATCGATGTAGATATCTACGGGCCACAGCATCCGCTTTCCATCTGATGGACTGTGTGCTCGTTTGTCACCCCTATTACATAACAAAAATACATTTTGAGACTGTTTGTGGCTGAGACAGAATTCTAATATGTATATTACCACTGAAAAAGGAGTTTAATTTGCAATGAGTAATAGACATTCCTTTTAATTTTTTTTTGTAATATTCAGTAACTTACTCAATAAGTTACACATTCAATCTTGATAACGGCACAGAATAAATAATAGTACAGGATAACGGTAAGCTAACAGCTCAATACAATTTGTCAAATACTCTCGGCCTTCGCAGATTTGGCAAAAAAAAGATGATTAGCCGCGGTCAAGTGCTATGAACAATGAACATATCGACAAATGTCACTGGGAAATAGCCGAGTGCCAGAACACAGGTAACGATGGCGGAGAGCTTGAAGGTATTATAAAATTATTTCACTTGATAGGGATATTCGCAAAGAAAAAAAGTTTAAACTGGGTCAACAGCGAATACAAATATGTATACATATACCCGCTAGAAGATATAAAGTTGATGACATAAATGTTGTTTATGAGAAAATCTAGGAAGATCTCATAATATCATATAGAATTTAGTGATTTTTTGTGTACACATCAGATGTAAAACTATATAGTTATTGTAGAATTATTACCTTCAAAACAAAATTAAAGTAATGTAAACATTCGTCTCTTATATAATACTAACTGTTACATTTGCTATCTTTACGAAGCCGTTCGATAATAGTATGTCTATATAAATAACAATATAAATGTTCGATCGTTCAAAATCTTAAATCTACGAAATAACTTCATCGATTACTTTGAAATTTTGACACAACGTTGCATTTAAATACGCGCATGTTTTATTAAACTTTTTGAAAAACTGTTTTAGCTACAGCTACATGGACGGTTACACTTAGTTTAAAACATTTATCCCGACCAAACAGATGAATATGGTTTTTAATACTTAGTTGCCTTTATTATATTATAATAGTAAAAGTATCATTTTTGTACAGTGAATTTCAATAAAAGGATAATATCTAATGTACTGCCCGAATTAAATTCTTGCCGTAAACTGCTCTGTAGATAACTACTCTGTGTAATCTAGATATCAAATGGCAGTAACGTAATGCCACTCACACATGCCATAATTTATGTGCCAATGATTTGTTGTTGTTATTTATATATAACATAATAGAATCAAGCGTTACTTTGCGGAAATCCATTATAATAGTTACTTTGCAACCATCCGCTCATAAAAATAAAATGAGTAGGTTCTCTATGCAATGTGTACGATTTGATTATTGACGAACATCGCCGAAGCGAATTAACGTATTCATCCAGCAATTGCGTATTCATGGGATTTGTATATTCATTAAAAGCATCGACGCTTCAATTTACAATCGTACTCCCTCATTTCTCAATTCATTCGAATACCCCATATTATTCGGTTGATGTGAGAATTTCCTTAATTTCAACGACATGGAAAATATCAACCAATCGATTTCTGTTCTAAGATTTTTCATGGTATAATCACGTTGCATACTATTACACTAACTTGTCACAAAGATGAGTTATCTCAACATCTACCTAGATGGACCATCATTTGCTAGGTGGTACAAATTATATTATAATATTATACAAATATCAAATAAAATCAAGGGTGATAAGCGAGCGAATTTGTCTGACGGTAAGCGATGCCTTTTTTATATAATAAGGGTGACAAAACGAGCACACAGTCCACCTGATGGTAAGTGCTTGCTGTGGTCCATAGACATCTACATCTATACTCAATTAAGGATTAAAATGCAGATGCGTTGTCAACCGTGAGGACTAAGATTGAATGCCTCGTTTTCAGTAAAAAGGGTATCAAGGTCTCTACACTCACCATACGAAAGGCAGCATCGTTTAGCTGCTATTTTACATTGGCATTCTGTGAGAGCGGAGACCTCCCCCGATCGAGCCGACCCACTCGTGCTACAACTATACTACTAATATAGCTGCAACATGGCTCTACCATGTAAAACACGCCTGGCCTTTAACCACCTAAAATTAAAATGGTTTCCTTTAATCACCTTAAGCAGCAGCAGCATTATGCTACACTAATTTGCCTCGCACCAGTAAGTGAAGTGTAGGTCAGCCCTCATAAATGCAGAAGGTCGATGGAAACAGTTGGCTCAAGACCGTGTTTTATGATCTATGCTGAACATAGGCTGTGAGAGGCATATGTTCAGCAGTAGACTTGTAAAGGGTTGTAATGACGAATGATGATGATGCCACAGTCGCACATGACGCCACACTGGCCTGATGGAACCCAGTGCAGCGTAATCATTGCGGAACAGCATCCTGATGTGTGAGGGGTTGGCTCTAACTTAGCCGTCTACAACTTACCTTATGATAGGTGTCCTTCTGCCAGTTCTTAATCTGTGCAATAACGTCATTAACAAGGCGGTCCCGCACGCTCAGGTGTAGGTCGGAGAGGCGCTCGGCTTCTTCCATGCCGCCCTTCCACGCTGCCTCCATTGTGCCGTACTCTGGACCTGAGGACAAAAATTATATATATATAAATTGATTGTCATAATATATTTAATATATTCTATCTGTTTACATTACTGCGTGGCTAATGTGGTGGCGTGTAATAGTTAATGTATGGGGGGCAACCGTTTTTATTCGAGTTGAACTCACTATCAGGTGAGTGAGTTGGTAATCACTATCAGGTGAGCAATATGCTAATTTATCCGTGGCTTTATCCGTGGCTACCACCATTCGTAAATATCAGGTGCGTTACTACTGGCCTTTTAAAGAGGAGTAGGTCCGTTTCTTATGACCATAAGTGTTATCGGCCCAGAAAAATCCCTGATGACAGAACTAAAAAGTAAAATAAACTCTCCTGGGCCCATAAAAAATTATAACATCATACAGATAAAACTAAAAACGCGTAGCGCATGCAAAAGATACTCGTTGATACTTGCATAGTTCAGCTAAGGCACTACAAACTTATTGCATTGTAAATTATATCATGTATATATAAATTATGAATGTCGTGAGAGTTTTCTCTAAGACCTCCAATACCTTCTCTCCTTACTTATTATGTTCTGGATGCGCCCCACGTTTTTCACTTTGTTTATCATCATCATCTTTACAGCCAAGACAATAAACTCCACTGCTGATCTTAGGTCTCCTTTAATGAATTTTATTTGTATGGGGTTAAAATCTGTATGGAGCTGGGGAAAATTATTTTATACTTTTTAGTTTTTTTCAGTGACATGGCCCAAAGCGTGGTAAATTTTTTTATTTGTTATTTTCTGCCTTCTAGTCTGTCGTCCATTTCTAAGTTATGTTTAAAGTTTCACCAATCTCGTTGGGAGATTATTTAAAACCGTTGCAAAATTTTTACTGAACATACGAACAAACAAATTGACAGACAAAAAGTGAGTTAAAATGCATTGTCATCCACTTTTAAGTTATATTTCAAAATCCAAGCCTCTAGCTCCTCGGCAAGTTAGTTTAAAATCAAGTGCAAAACTTGTATCGAACAGATTAACATATATACAATAAAGCCAGCTAATAAAAACGTGTTAAAACAGTAAATAAGTACTACTCTGGCTAGTTTAACGACCTCTAGATAGCACTGCGTGAAATCAGGTAATTCCAAGTTTTTAAAGTCGTACGAGCTCCAAATTAATGTGTACTTCCGTGGTAATTGTTGGCGCACTTCCAATTTGGCTATCCCCCGTCTTTAACACGCGGTATTACGGTACAGCGGACGATGCTTGACCGATATACATAGGACACTGGCTACCTGGTTATATCTGGGGTTATATCTATCTACATATAATTTTTATGGATAAGTTTATTTGTTTATTTATATTTATACACGGTATTTTTGTAACGCTTCCGAAAACGAAGACAGACGATAGTATTAAGGATACATTTGATGATGGAACTCAAATAAAATCGATCCCGATGCAAAACCAATCATTTTTCACAACGTTTAATTTTATTCACGCTCTATCGTGTTAGTACAGCTTAATGAAACGATAATTTCATTTAAAAAATCATGAAAATACCTAAACATGAAACCAGCAATGAAACTTCAATACCCGAAATCAGCTGATAAAGGGTCAATAAACGCGCGACGCCGAACGCCGACACGCAGCCGACATCGTACCAGTACCTAATAATTTACAACACTTGTCTAAATGCCTAACTTATCCACTTAATCAACTGTTTTGCCACTGTGCTAGTCTGTATAAGAGGGAACCAACGAGCATGCGCCCGACCTGATGGTAAGGTCACTACCGCTACCCATGAACAACAGCAACACCAGGAAAATTGTAGGTGCGTTGCCGGCCTTTTAAAAAGAGTAGGCTCCTTCCTTGAAGGTCCCTTAGTTCTCCATGTTTTCAAAAACTCAAAACTTAAACGGGAGAAAGCTTTAAAATAAGCTGAGTGCATGAGTCTGTCTGTGCCAACTATATTTTCTTTATAATTAAGGTCACAGAAAAGAAAAAGAATAAATTATTGTAAAATATTACAACGATAACTACTTTTCTTTTTCAGCCTGTTACAGTCGCTAGACTTAGGCCTCAGACTTACATATATTTCTAGTAAATGTAATATATATGCAGTAAATGTAATATATATTTGATTTCATAACACTTCATTAGCCCACAATAATCGAAATACGCCTGCTCATTCTAACGAGGGTATACCCCTCATCTTCAAACTTGGCAGTCCAATCAAAACCTATTTGTCCCGAATCTACTTTTGTCAACTAGACCGAGGGAGGGTTATTACGTATGACCAGTGTAAGAGAATTGGAGAACCTTTTTTTCTAAATACGAGGCATTCCATCTTAGTCTTTTTGATTTTGACGTTTGTCATCCTTAATGTATTAAAAAAAATAAGTGGATACTGTTGCCCGTAGACATTTATCCTCGATTAAGAATCAATATGCAGATGCGTTGTCACCCCTAAAGACTAAGATGGAATGCCTCGATTTCATTAAAAAGAGTATCCGGTCCTCTACACTCACTATACGAAACACAGCAGCATTAAGCTGCTATTTTACGCTGGTATTCTGTGCAACCGTGGTCCTTCCCCTGTCGAGTCGACCGACCCATTCATGCTACAATCATTATATAACTGCAGCGTGGTTCTACCACGTATAACGATGAATTATGTGCACGTTTGCCAGCCATATTCTTTAAAAAAAATACGCACCTAAATACCATTGAGTCCAATACAATAAAGTCTGACAACATAGCGTCTGTATTTTTATTAAGTCCGTGGCCTGCAATAAATAATAACGATTACACTCGAATACGAGTAATGCTTTGATAGAACTCTGTTACATTATAAATAAATTTTAAAAAGATTTTATAGATGTCCGTGCCTTCTGCTTACACGTGTGCATATCAATTCTGTTTAACTTTACAGGGATAACGTTTAAAAAACATAATTACGACAATTTTCTCCGACAACGAGTGACATTAACTTAAGTAAGATGTAAGTGAATGGCGTGATGGTGCTATGTAATCAGTGAGCGGTAATGTTACCGAGAAAAAAATGTCCGTGTTTATCGGAAACAAAACTGTGAGCCGCAAGTAATGTGAAAAACATAGCTTTATATGAACTTAACTTATCATTATGGCCAGTAGCCTAAAAGCGAATCACAATAACGACTGATTTATTTATTTTTTCACGAGTTATAGTATAATATAAATACGAGACACTTCAAAATTACATTTATAATCGCTAATAACTATTCTCAGGATTTTTCAAAATTCCTACAGGATATTTTGATCCTCTATCACCACTGGTCAAATGGTCACTTCTTTGCATTTGTTGTTTGTTTTATTCACACCCCGGCTTGAGCCTGAATGGAATCTATTACTGTGGCGTTATTTAGACATAAAATAATCAAAGGCCATTTATTTTACTATCTAAATTTTTCGATATGTCAAAAAAAGTTTTTCTTTTTTATTATATTATTATATTACTCAGTATCTGTTCGTAAAGTTTTGTCACAATTGGTTTAGGCATTTTTAAGATTAGCCCGGAAATATAATGGAAAAAAGACCCCATTTATGTTAATATTACTTACTACACCTTAATTTTATCTATATAAATAAATCTGGTGTAGGTATATTAATCTTTTCTTTGCTTTGAGAATTAAAAAAATTACTAAACCCTAAGATACTAGTTAGCTTCAATACAGTAATTGTATATTTTTAAAATTTAATCACAGGAAAAGAACTTCGTGTATTAATTGACGTAACTGTAAAATGGAACTGTTCGCGTGAGGCTAAAGGTGGCTTACAAACAATCTTATTAGTAAAGCGAGACGACAAACATAATTTATAACCACTTCTGTTTACTGTGTGAAACCCAAGTTAGTGACAAACGAACGCACAGCCCATCTGATGGTAAACAAGGTTTCTGCAGTCCACGGACACCTGGAGCCAACTTCAAACAAAGAAGGCTACGTAAGCGTTGTCAACTCTGAGGACTGAGGTGGAATTTCTCACAGCCTATAATCATACCGGGTATATATACCTTTGCGGTTTTGCAATTTTATACACTAAATATAACAAATAATAAATAAATAAATATTATATTATATTGTATTACAATAATAAATTATCATTAAAACCAATATGGTAAAACAATTTTGATTATTGTAAAATAAAGTTTAATTAATTATGGATATCAATTGTTGATCATTTATACGTATAAAGGCCTTGATTTTTTTTTTCAAAACGACGTAAATAGTACCAAAGTAACACAATGAATGAGCAAGACCCAAAACCAAGACCATGACCAAGACCAAGACTAAATAAGTAAGACCAAGACCTGACAAGCAAGACCGAGACCGATGCCAAGACTATTATGATCTTGGCATCTTGCTTTGCTCATCACTAGTAAAATCTGAAATCTTTTAAGACCTTAATATTAGGTTTCTCTTTAGTGTAGAGCCTGAATCCCTGAGTAAAAGGAAAACTGCAGGCCGTGCGGTAAGCAACCCACACGGCCTTCACTTCGACTTTAATGTGACCAAAACAAGAGTGGAAATGGTGCCATGGAACTCAATACTGTATATGACCGAAAACAATTATTAAAAACTTATTCTTCAAGGCGTTTCTTCCGTTATGGACATATAACAGAACCGGGACACATCCTTGAGTTGCAGAGTCCCAGAATGGACATGTGCTTTTTAAGACAATAGTGACCTGTTAGGGCTATTGCCAAAATGCGCAATTTATTTTTACTTAATCCCAGGGCTTCTGAAGCGAATTTACGATCAAAAGCCCGGATTAAGGTTTTACAATGTTTTAATCCTGGTGTGTCAGACCAGATTTTAAGTGATTTATTGTGATAAAGAGTTTCAAGGGTCAATCGGGCTAGGCTTCTTGAGATTCCCCAAATTGGCTCAGTTCCAAATTTTGTACTCTTTGAGCAGGTATGTCGGCGAATTTATTGCCTACAATACCTGCGTGACCCGGAACCCATCTTAAGAGTTTTCGGGTAAGTAAAC